ATGATTATATAGTAAAAATATAGGTACCAATCTAAAGACTTCAGTCTGGTAATGTTGAAATTGGGAAATACCTATGGAAATACTTATTCAGGTTATACAGCTAAATTATCACATTAATGATATTTTTTAGTTTGACTTAATATATGATTTTTAACTATTAATTAATCGATTTAAATCATAATAAATAAAAAATAAAAGCATTTTCTAAATTAATCAAAATATTAACAAACTCGTCAGAAAACTTCTAATATATTTAATGAAACAAAATTCTCGTCGAGATACAGGGCCGGATTGGATAGGCGAGCTACCGAGAAAATCTCGGTGGGCCGCTCAAAAAAAATGTCGATCGTAAGTGTTTGGGCAATTATTTCATAACACAAATTTGAATACATTTATTTAACTCTGTGCACTACGTCAAATCTAAATCAATTTATACATTTTTATTTGAAAAAGGCCCCTTTTAGGGCCGGTTAAAAAACTAAAACTCGGTGGGCCGATACCTTGTCTATCCGGCACTGTCGAGATATTCAAATTACCTAAATCATTTCATAAAAATCTTGAAGCGCACAAAAACATAATACTACAAATATTATTTGGCTAAGTACCAACTTTTTTTAATAAAAAGGGATATGTAAGATTATCATATGAAAACTAATTATAGAGGCTTCGTTAAGGTGCATATATTTTTGGATTGAGTTTGAAACAAGAAAAATATATTGCTAAGAGTCTAAGATACATAATAATTATTAATAAATAAGTGTGCGATTTTATAACAATCGAAATCATACTAAGTACCTAAATGAACAAACTAAAATTCAAATAATTGTAATTTAGAAATTATTACAATAAACACACTAATTAATCACATATTTAACACAAAAACTCACTATACTACCACTGTATATCTGTACTTACATAATATCACCACATAATATGGTAAATGCCTATAAACTGTTCCAGAACAGTTTGAGTACAATTTAGTAAATACTTTAAATTTGTTCTAAATATTAATTAATTTTCGTGACGTAATCCCTGTTTAGGTATTAAATAAACGAAGTATATATCTCTTTAGTTTTTTTATAAGACTGCCTATGCTACATGTTATAATATTATATGTTTATAAAGTATAATACTATAATATATGTCAAACGGAAATGTTAATATATTAATTCGAGTTTGTATTGGGCATGCACACACTTAAATAATAATAATGATAATAAAAAGATGGATGAATGAATGAAAATMTCGAGGAACCTCGTAGCCTACATGTTTGGATAATCCCACACAACGTATTAAAACCTACAGTTCAGATATGATAATGAATGGAATGAGGAATGTAAATACAATAAGGAACACCTACACACACGCAATTTTAATAGGGTCAAAATCATGTGTTCGTAAACTTATAAATAATACATGCACAAACGCTCATATTTTACGCACGATACATCGTGCGTATAATTTGAAATTGGATTTGAAAATTTAGGAGGGAAAAAAATTTTTTTCAAACTGATGATATGTACACCATTTCAGAATCCAGTGTGATTATAACATTAGGTACATGAAATTCGTGTATCAACATAATATGTATATTGTATACAATTTTCCTCGCAATTTTCTTATTGTAATTATTGAGATAATAATTTAAAAAATTAAAATGTCTGTAAAATATGTGGTACCTATGAGATTTGATGATAAATGTAACTTGTTAATAAAGCCAAACTATTACAATAATATTACATTTTTATAGTTGACAATGGGAGACTTCAATTTCAGCAATTACTAATTTGATTCTAGCTAACTAAGTCAGTTAAGAATTATTTTTGCTTCTTAAATATTAAAATAATAAGTACCTACCATGATATACATATTATATGGTACACAATAAAATAATTTTGAGTTTATAGGTAATGTATTTTATACATAAATATAAACAATAAACATAAGTATTATAAAAGTAATACATACGAATACATAGTCAGATAATAGCTGTGTACCTACTCTGAAATATTTCTATGAAATTGTCATAATAATATCATTGTACCATATACCTACCTACATAAACTCTGGGATAAAATCTTTGGAAAGATTAAACTATTATAATTATAGTTCTCACAAAAAGTTACCAGGTACAATATATCATATTTTCTTAATCCATAAGACAGTAATTTTAAATTTTAAACAATGGAAATTATTGAGATGTAATTCACATCAACAGAAATTATTAAACAATATATCTAAATATAACAACTAACAGTTATTCACAAGTTCTATTGTAAATCTATTCAGAATGATCTCTTCAGTTTTCTGTTACATTACTCAAACTCATAAAACTATCATAAAATCTAATTATAAATTAGGTATATGCATTTAAACTTATAATTAATATGTAGGTAATGTAGATACCTACATCATTATTTTATTTGTATTACTATTTCAAAATCAATTTAATACAACCCAAAATTGTGCATGAGATTTAGTACTTGTTTTAATGTTGACACTAGATGCTAGTCAATTTTTAATTTTATGTTACAGACATGTAGGTAAGTGTTGATTTGATTAATTATCATGTATTTAGTATAAACATATAAATATATGTTTATTACAATTAAAAGTTCAATCTCAGTGGCATGCCAGGAATTTTGAACGGGGAGAGGGGATGTTATAAGCAACGACCACCATTGGGATTCTATAGGACTTAAAATATGCTTTAATATCTCCTTAAATATCACTAAATATGTACTAAAAATATGCAATGAAAACAACAAAATACGCTAAATCTGAAAAGCACAAGATAATGTACGACAATGAATAACCACAACACGTTCAACCGAAAACACATAATAGGTATGAGTACACTAGTTAGCTATATTAATATAGTATATTATATACCTAATATTTTTTAACGCTCATTTGATGTTCTTACAGTTGTAAACGACAAAAAAGGAACACATCAAAATCAACTGAATAGCTGATAACATAAGTTTAAGATTAAAAAAAATACCTGCCTAAAATGAAATGATGCGTTAATACATTCATGTAGTCGGTCTACTTTACTTAATATTATATTTTATAACATATGACCAATATTGATTAAAATATGAGTAAAAAATATCTTAAAAGTCTAGAAAGAGCACTAAAACCCTAACTAAAATCTTTACTAAAACCTAAAAAATCTGAAAATCAGAAAGTAAAATTTTATTTTGGTCCTCTGAATTATGAAATAAACTCTAATCTTAGGTACTCTGCTATCTTGCTATAGGTAAGCATTTTATAAGAAATATTAAAATACTATAAGATCTTATTTCTTAACCTTGGTAAAAACTAATGAAACATTTAAAAAAAAATGTATGCTAGTACTTACTGAAGAAAAAAATAACGGGATTTATTTTTTTACAGAAGAGAGGGAATATAACCCTTAACCTCCCCCCCCCCTGGGCACGCTACTGCATTGAAAAGGTATATTACTCTTGGTATTACCTAGTATCAATAATACAACATAGGTAGTAGATTTATAAATATAAATGTCCATCTAATGTTACAGTTTTCTTACATAACATAATATATATTATGTTAATGAAACCAAAATAGTTTTCTTAAGGAGATATACCCATAGATAAAAGAAGCATATACAAAACACCCAAGAATAATATTAAAAGCATATTAGATAATATTCAGGGCCGGATTGGGTAGTCTCGGCCCTTCGAGAAATATTTTTCAATCAACTAGTCATTTTCTATAGTGGCCCATATTGGACGGAATTTAATATCAATAAATAATAATGACCTTATCATATTAGTACTATTATAATATAGCTGTCATCAAAATCATAATGAGGGCATTAATGTTATTATTATGTCTATGGTTTTAAAGATACATTTTAAAAATTAATATTATATGCACCTACCTACTGACTCGCTACTGACATATTTGTAAATTTAGCATCCAAATTATAAAATATTGAACATATATTTTTAAATTTTAATTCTATAGGTAAGTGCCATCATATAGATAACCTAATAGATACTACTAACTACTGTGTAGCATAATACAATAATTATTTTCTTGAATTCTGATATAATTTTTAAATAAATATAATTGTTTTGCACTTTTATATTCTAAAATAGTTGACATATTTTATTAATAAACAATAACTACATATATAAGAGAATACCTAGACAACTTCATAAATTACTCTGATTTGTAGATACATTTTATTCTGGGTAAATGTATTTTTTAATAGGAATATTAGTTACCTTCATTAATAATAATTAATATGTAACATATTATCATGCTATTGTTCATAGTTCATTCAGAAGCTTGTACAAGCAATATAATTTAGGTAGTACCTATACCTAGGAATTACTACTTAAGGGCTGGGACTAAGCTTTATGATTGTGGTAATTCCCATAATATGATGAAGCTAAAGAAATGAAGGAGGAAAAAAAAGGTATTTCTTAGTGTACCAATCTAATATAATAGCAATTTCTTAATTAAAATATAAGTAATAGGTATATTGTCCGGTATATTGTTATAATCACTACAAAGTTGGATTTATAGACATTTTGGGTTTGAAAACCAACTATTGGACAGGAATTTGTTGATAAAATCAATTGTTAAATGTATGTCACTAGTAAATAAAAAAATAGGACATGTTCAGACTGTGTTATTCTTGACCATTAGCCAGTAATCACACATTTTGTAGGTATGGAACACTAAAACTGCTGTGTGTGGTTACAAGAGCACATAACTAAAACAATGTTAAGACTTAACAGTTAAGTATGTGACTATGTCGCTTTGCCACTTTGGTGTTATGCGAGGTGTTATGTGACGTTCAATTCCAATAGTATTTGTACTAAAACTGATACCTATTATATGAAATAAGTAATAACAGACTAGGTATGTGTATGACATATGTGGCTGTCTCGTGGCCATATTTGTATTGGATATAATATTATAGTAGACACTAGACTCAGTAATAAACACAAATAGGTATTTACTCGGTGTCGTGCAATCTCTGGATGTACTGTAGCGAAGGTTTGTCACCCAGGCCATAGTGTAACGGCCAACTGCAGATGCGAAGTCTGATCAGACAGAATAGAGATCGATATGGTCTGTTGATAATTTATTATAATACTAAACCAAAATCACGTTATTAAAATGCAATATATCGGTCCACACGCATTGCACCTACACACAGTGAGCGGGCGTGGAACACTGAAAATCGTACGACCACGATGTGGCAATCCCCGCGTCGCTTAAGAACTGTTAGCGAAACGAAAGTTTTAAGACAATAATACCGGGCGGTGCACGCCGAATTTGATGGTGCTACCGGAAACGCGAACTTAGCACTTAAACACCGGGATATGGGACACGATAATTTAACTTTATTTTATGATTATCAAGACGAAGACCACTTAAACACAGGTCCACCGTTATTTATTTCTCGTTGACTGTTCGCAATATCAAATGCTGTTGCCGCCGACCGGAATGCACGCTGAAACGCACCGCGGCCAGAATACTGTGTGAACAGTCCAGTGAGCACTGTGAGCGTATCGACAGAACCGAAAGGCACGACGTTTGATTGATGACTGGGGTGCGGCGGTGGCGCGGTGCTCCCGGCGCGACCGAGTCGGACGCCGCCCATTTGGTGTCGCGTCTACCCCTCTCCACCCTTTCCAACCTCCCACACAGCAATCATTTGGCAACCACTGAATGCATCGCGGTCGGTGCGTCTCAAAATCGTCATCGCTCGTTACAATATATTATTTTGTTCAACGAATTTAATGTTTTTTCGAGTGTTTTTTAGTTAAGTTACATTTTATTAAAATGATTTTAATAGTTTTATTTTCCATTTTGCAAAATTTTATAATTTTCTTTTCTCAGAGGACAATTTTTTTTTTCGGAAAATCCTTGACGTATTATTGCCGTAATGCGCGCAGCACATGACGGTATATAATCAGACCATCATCTGATTCACATATTATTATTATTATACTTATAATATTTATATAATATGCTATATATGATAAAATATATTAGTTAATTCAAAAATAGCGAGTGGGTTAAATTTTTAGCTGGACTCCAAAATCTGCGTGCTTATAAACAATAATATTAAGTAGATACCAAACTACCACCTAATTAACCGTCAACCCATCAATTCCATTCCTGAATACAACTAGATTATTAAAACACATAGTGAAAAGTACTGAAAACCAAAATATTGTTAAAATTTTGGCAAAAATTTGCGACAAAAAAGAATGAACACATTTATTTTAAATTTGACCCGATGTTGGAATTACATCGTATTTTCTAATTCCATCACAAAAAGTTCATAATATCCTATTTTATAATATAAATAATAATCAATAAACTAATTTGTATTATTTTAGTACAATATCTATCGTTGGCCTCGCTTGCGTGCTAGCTACTCCCTATACCCAACGGACAAATCCACGATAAAATGTTAATAAATTATATTAACACATAATAGCTAAGTGTATTGTATTGTTAATTCATTATAATTCTTATAACATGATTATACATTTACACGCATAATGAAAAACACAGCTTTAATTTAATTCGTATACTGATTAATTGATTCTACTCGTACTATATTAAATTACTTAGAATATACATATATTGATATCAGTGGTGTATATAGAGGGGTGGCCTAGTGGGCTGCAGCCCCTCCCAAAATAATAGTCTTAACTGTTAAGTATATGGCAGCTTCTATAGGTGATAGATCATTATTGTTAGTTGCTATGTATAATATATTATAGCCCACGACGAAAATTTTTTCTATATACGCTACAGATTGATATATATATATAAGTATTATAACAACATACCTATAACTATAGAAACTTTAACCTTATAGCTTAAATATAACTAAGAATACTGAAAAGGAACCTAAACAATCTCTAACGACTACTAGAACGAATTTACATGTCTTGTTGTAATTTGTAGTTTTATTTTGGTGACACTCCACTACAGGCTTCGCGAATGACTGCGTGAGCTGTTATTAAAGTTTTATTTAAAATGTTATTTATTATATATTATAAAACTGAAAACATACACTCATTCATATTAGTAAATTACCATTGATTATAAATTAATATTTATAATCAATGATATTACCTATACTGAGTATTCTGTATTATCTATATATATTTGATACATTTTCAAAAGGGCCAGGAAAAACAAAAAAATAATTAAATATGAAAAGCTGAAAAGCTGAGATTATTACGCAAAACGAGATATTTGTAAATCCCGATTTTATGTTAATATTATTTAAAAAAATAACAGTAGATAAATGATGTTTTGACCGAATTGTTAAATTATCATTTCCTAAACACCATAAAAAACTTTTTGAGCTTTTTATAGGCTATATATTATAGTATATATTATGTACATCGATATAGCTAATATTTTTGATCTGTATTAATTTATTTTGAATTAACGTTAATAACAAAGTCTTCGCTCCGTCAAAAAACTTGAAAATTTAATACATTAATTTAGTTTCGTCATAAGTTTTAGTTATTATTTAATACATTTGATAATTGATAATTTTTTTTTTTTTGCAGAAAACATTACTTATTGACATAAAATATTTGATTATTTCTGTACACCTCCTTTAAGTTGCATTAGTATTAGAGATACAGTTGTAAATAATAGGTTTTTTATTAATGTCATTAAAAATGTTACTTGATTTAATTATAAAAAGAGATTTGAATGTAGCTAGGTAATAGTAAATTTTAACAACTGCGACTTTTTTGTTTATAGGAAATATAAAAAAAAATCAAATTTGTCTGTATTAGATATTTATACATATATGATATATTATGTACCTATATGTATATATTATTAACAGCAGACAACAGTGGCGAACAAATCTCAAATAACCCATAAGCAGCCTTTTTTTGGTTGGGTTAGGCAATGGTAATCAAATTGGTTTCGTGATTTAGCTAATGAATAGTTAAAAAACAAATAGGTATATAGTGCTTTCACTGGATAGCTTCTTTACTCGCGTGCAGGTTTTATGTTATAATTATATAAATTCTCACTTAACACATATAGGGCACAGATTTTATATTTCTCTTAAAATTAAAAAAATATTGAGCACCTGCTCATCCCTTAATATTAAAAAATGGAAAAGCAGCTATACTTTTCAAAGACTATGTTCGTTTCACCACCTGCAAACAACAAATAAGAAGTGGAGAACTACGGTATTGGTGAAATAATGAGCTGCATGGGAATGCGTATCAAAAATCATGATAATAGGTGCTAGGTTTAGGTACTTATATACCCTATATATATGTTTGTCATGAATCATGATTCACAGTACAAATGAAATATATATTATTCTTAATTGTTTGTTCGTATGTATGTATCCCAGATTTCGGAATACATAAAATACTTGACGGGTTTTTTTGTATTAAATAGTATACATGCGATGATCAGTTACGTACTAACGAGGAAGTGGGGGGGGGGCTTTTCAACATCAGGATAATGATGATTACTGATTATAGGTTACCTTTAAATAGACTAGAAAATAATTAAACAAACATTTTTTTTTTTAATATTTAGGTTACTCAATCTTACATCTCATTTTATTGCTTATAAAATATTAAGTTACATTATTTTTTCTACATTTGAGCTAAATTTTTAATAATTTACGATAAATTCTAATSAAATGTACAACTTAAAATTAGCTTAATTTTGTTATTACTTATAGTTTTCAAATTGCAAATGAAATTTTTCTTTTGCTTTTGGAGAAACGTTGAATTAATTTTTCAACATCCATGTCTATGTACGGACTATGTCCCTATGGATGTTAAATAATGCAAGTCCAATCATACGTGTTTCACACATTGTTGATCTTAACCATGTTTTAAGACGTCGTAATAATGAATAGAGAATGTTATTTCAGAACTAGAATTACTAATGGGCAAAGTAATTAATAATTTTAATATTTTATTTATTAAAGAAAAAGCGTCTTCATCACAATTTTCAATTTTGTAATACATCAATGGCATTCTTAGAAATTACTGATGAATCCTTTTGATATTCACGTATCCATTTTTCTTTCCAAATATAGTATTCACTATTCACCAATCACCAACTAATAGCGTAGATACCTCATTTCTATGAAGTAATATTTGAAAATCTTTGGCAACTAATTTTATTTTGTTGATTTCTTCTTTTTGGTCACTTGGTAATTTAAACAAATTAGACCGAAAAAAAACGGTAACTGAAATAATTCCAATGTATTTTGTGAAAAACGTGTTTTTAAGTCATCTATTATACATTATTATATTCAATAAAGGAATAAATATCGTGATTCTGTAATAACTAATAGTCTTCTACATTATTAGTAGAATAGTTTGAACGATTTTTTTGTTGCTTACATATCCTAGCCATTCGTAATTCTACATCGATAATGTTTTCTAAGTCTTCAGATGATTTAAAAATATTTGAAAATTCTGTGTCAACATTTTCACGACATTTCAAAATAACTTGTAATGTATCTTTAAATTCTTTAATAGTATTTGCTGTTGTACTCAAATCTAATTTTTTTTTTTCGTCGTCGCATGTCGTGTCGTTAGCCTACGTGATTAAAAATTACAGAAAAATTCTTAAAATAGATTTGTAATATACCAATATCAATTTTACAAAACATTATAATCTAATATAGAAATATGTAATAAGAATAATTTAATGTTAAATAATATAGTATTTTCATTAATTATAGAATAGATCTATTCTATAATGAATGGTATTACTTTTTTCGCCAGCCTCTTTTTTTTTTTTTTTTTTTTTGGTGGGGGGGGGCATTACTCCCATGCCATCCTTGTATCCGCGCCTGTAAAGACGATTTTGGGCGACAGGTATGTACTATATGTATGCTGCAGCATGTGTAATTTATTATTCCCGATATTGACTGATTTATACGTAGTTGTACCATACCTTGTCCCGTGACCGCCGGCAAAAACGCACTATGCACGCGAACTTGTATAATAGGTACTGATCATAAAACAAATTTGGAATAATAAACTGATCTTGCTGAACTGCTGACCGTGCTGTTATGCCGTGTACCCAAGTGTTTCTTTTTTTTTTGCTTGTATCAGTCAGATAGTTCAATCTAACACTTTTTATTTGCGAATTAGAAATCGCAAAAATTAGTGTCGTCTAAGTGTCATATGGATTCTAATAATAGCCAATGGCTGGCTTAAACTGTCATTAATTCTAATTATTTGATAACTGTCAATTAGAAGCCTGCAGCTCGTCATTTATAATGGTGCAATATTTAAAAGATKTACGATTTCGTTGCCGTCATCCTCTCCCTTGATATTTGTGCCAAAAATTGAAAATTATTTTTCGGTCATACAAATTCTATACCACGCTGTTTCGTATAAACATCATATTAATAAGCCTAAGGGATCATTCTAAGAAATTGCAACATTTTTAAAATGGTGGTAGGGCTGGTATTATATACGTCGTATACTCGTATGTAACTTATAAAGTTATAAGTAGGGTTCGGATTTGAAGGCAAATGCCATTCTTTTATTAATCATAATAGAAAAATAATTTTTATACAAAAATGTGTTTTATTTAATTTCTTAGACGATAGATCTTTTTTTTTTTTGCCTTTTTACTTATAAATGCCTTTTTGCCTTTTTTTCACCTTTTGTACTTATAAATGCCTATTTTGTGTTTAATTTTCAGTTGATTTTATAATTTTATACCCAGCTAGAGTATTATCACTTTAAATGGGTTTTATTATTCGCAATATTTATCGATATCGTCTTATCGAGTATTTKGTATGGCCATAAAATTACCCGTACACCTATTTAAAGATTAAGATATGTTCGTAATGCATAGATTCAAGATTGTTCGTCAGTCCGCCTGCATTTGTCGATCGCAATAATTGTCGTTCAATAATTTTTCCACGCGTTTATTTTATTCTGTTTTTCAATTATGCCAAAATTTAAACAAAATCACAATTCCAAGTTGAAAAAGTATGTTTCAGAATTCGGTGAAAATATTTTTTCAACCGATGGATTAATTTTATATTGTAAAATTTGTGACRTCAAAGTGTCAAGTGAGAAAAAATTCCATATTCAGCAACATATCGGAAGAGATAAACACAAAAATGCGCTTGCAAAAATTGAAAATAGTAAAAAAAATCAGCCTTTCATTAATAAAAATACCATTAAGTCAGATTTCAATTACGCCCCGATAACTTCGGTGGACGTAGAAAGATCGTTTTCGATGTACAAAAATATTTTAACCCCTAACCGTAGCCGTAGCCGAAAGAAGGATGAACGGAAATATGTAGATTTATCTACTGAAACAGTGTGGCTTAATAACCAGATTTCCAGCTAGTGCAGCCGGGAACTAGATGTTATACTACTAAAGGTGAGATGTCCGTCAAGTTGGAATAGTCACATTATGCTAAGACTACAAAACTGGCATCAAAAATTTGTTAGGAATTTGTTTTATTTTGCTAGGGCTCCTGAACTTTGTGAATCTACAAACAAACATCCGGAGGCCATATATTTGTGGGTGCACCAGCACAATGACCAATTCCAAAAAAAAGTATGCTAATTTATAGTCTGCCGAATTTGCTAGATAGGGCGTTTTCAGATTTTGCTAGGATTCCTACTATACGCTTAGGAAACAGGAAAGGTTCCATATTTGGCGTTAGCACTTTTTCCGATTACAAAAAAAAAAAATTATGTCAATTTATTCAACCGATGTTGCGTGATTTTGCTAGGGTGTTTTTTGGATTTTACTAGACATATTAACAAATTCAAGTCAGTCCTGACTCCTGGCCATAGTCTATGGTTCTTGCGTACTATATAGCCAATCTTCACCAAAATAATAATACTCAGCCTGTTATCTATTTAAATAAGACATGGATCAATCAAAATTACACAAAATCACACATTTGCATAGTGATTGCCTAACCTGACGTACAAGTCCCGTTTACGTACGAACCATAGACCTTAAGAAGACGCTACACCCGCATGTGTTGTCTCCGTCTTACAAGTGC